AGCTGTATTATTTTGATGTGGGGTACACATCAGTGTATCAGATACCCAGTACTCTGGAAGGAGAGGAGGAATTGATTCTATAGGCTGGGTGTGGACAGCAGATTCCCCAAGACAGTGTGTGTGGAGGGAGCAGAGCAATACTGTGAGTAGCTGAAGCAGAGTTATAGATTTCATATTAGAGGAAATTGACCTGAAGCTGCACCCAGAGTAGAGAAAACAGAAGGAGCATGAACCCCCAAGACACACACACACACACACACACACACACACACACACACACACACACACACTACTTCCCTACAGGAGCCACTCCATTGTCTTACAGCACCCTGGCAGCACATGGACATTAGAAATTTCAGGCAAAGAACCCTGCTTATACTGTCTCCTCACTTCAGTGAAAAAAAAAATGCCATGGACCATAATCAGACTCCTATTGGATAGAATCACTATGGCTTGTTCTAGCTGCAAAAAAAAGTTGAGATTTGAATCTTACATTCAGAGACATTTTAGAATAAAAATAAGAAACCTCATGTTTACAGTAGACCCTCAGTGTGTGATGTGTTGTATCCCATCTCTTTTTGTATTTGTGGAATTGTTAAATACTATAAAATGTCCCTTTTTTTCTCTTTTTTTCAAGACAGGGTTTCCAAGTGTAACAACACTAACTGTCCTGGAACTAGCTTGTAAAACCAGCCTGGACTCAAACTCAGAGAAATCCACCTGCCTCTGCCTCCAGAGTGTTGAGATTAAAGGCATGTGCCTCCACAGCCCAGCTAATGTCCCCTTTTAGAAAGTGTTAGTTTTCAGGGGTTGTGTAAGAATTACACTATCTTCATAGTCACATCCCTTCTCAGGGTCAGTTATCCCCAGAGTGATTTTCCAGCAGTCTTCCCAAGTAAGATTCTATGGAGTTTCCAGGAAATACAGTGACTTTAAAAAAAATAACTATTAGTATATATTTTGTTTTGTTTTCTCTTTGCTATTTATTTTATCATCTTGTCCAAAGTTTCGCCTTCATACTCTCTTCTCAGTTCCTTAGTCCCACCTCTTTTCGACTCCCCACCTCATCCATTCCTTCTCCATTTCCATTTAAAAAGAGGCAGGCCTACCATGGATATTGACATATCATGGCATATCAAGTTGATCACCTTGCCTTGTATTAAGGCTGAGCAAAAGCAACCCAGTATGAGCAACAGGAACACAAAATCCAGTAAGGAGTCAGAAACAGCCTCTGCTCCCATCTTCAGGATTTCCACTAGAAGATCAAGCTAAATAACTGTCTCATATGCAGAGGGTCTTGATCAGTCCCTTTCAGGATCTCTGGCTGTTGGTCCAGACTCGATGAGCTGCTAAGAGCCGGGTATTTGATTCTGTGGGTTCTCTTGCTATGTCCTTGACTCATAGGCTGCTATAATCCATCCTCCCTCACTTCAGTAGGATTCCCCAAGTTTGGCCTAATGCTGGATTTTGGATTTCTGCATCTGTTTTAACCAGTTGCTGAATGAAGCCATTCTGATGACTTTTAGGCTAGGCACCAATCTATGAATATAACAGAATATGTTTAAGCATTATTACTTTGACATATTTTTCCTCTGGTCATGTGTAGTTCTTGTAAGTAAATTTGTTGCAACTCTGTGTATTTGGTCCCAGATTTCAGCACAAAAACATGAGTTTTGCAACTCTGGGGATAGTGTGCTGACTACCTGTGGGGACAGGCAACCCCTTGAGCTGCTGAGGATAGTTCTTGACAGCTGAAGCTTCAAGGAGACAGTTCAGCCCTGGATGGTGAGCTATCTCAGACACCTAGAGTTGCTCAGAACAACAGCTCTGCCCTGAAGGTGTACGAGGCATCTGGAACTGTTTAGCTTAGCTCTGATGGCTGGATCTGCAAAGAAGCCACCCAACCCTGGAAGGTAAATTTTTCTGACTTCTTGGGAAAGTCATACCTGTAACTGCTTCAGCAGGGAAGAGTATCCTGATTGTTGTGGAAAGTCAGCGTATACCTGGTATGATAGGGGATGGTCTCCTCATGGGATATAGCAATCCAGTTCCTCTCCTGGAGAGCCACTACAGCTGAGCTTTGCTCAGCCCCCATTTGATGGAGCTTCCTAGCAGAGTTCTGCTTCTCCAGCCTAACATGTTGCTTTTTTTTTTTGCTTCACTCTGAAAAAAGGGAAAACCCTGCAGAAATACAGCAATCTCCTCTGGCTCTGGTGAAAAGTGTAACTTTTTCAGTTCTCCCTTGTTTTGTCCACTGAGAGATGTCTGGGCAAAGATCTTCTCTAAGCCAGTGAATGGAGATCTTCACAGACAAAACTCTTTTGAGAAAGATTTATTTAGGAAGGAGAAGTCCAGGAGAATAGCTGCCTCTACCAGGGTAGAAAGAATAGCCTTTTCTAACTGACCAGGCAGGGTGGTTTACATTGGATATCTTGGGGGTAAAGTCAACCAGGAGTTGACTTGGGGCCCAGGGTTTTTCCTGTTCTGTGACTGGTTAGTTTCACAAATCAATTGGCCAGGGCAGAGATGGCTCTGATCTGACTGAGCCAAACTGTTTTTTTCTGCCCTGATCTGAACCATCTTTCCCTAGTTTGGGGCTCCAGGTTCAGGGTGGGTTTCTTTAGATAGCCCCCTTTCCCTACAGTTCTATTATAGGTTTCCGGTCTGTCCAACCTCTGGGCCCTAGCAGTCTAATGATAGTTATGTGTTCACTCTTGTTATATGGGTCTCAAGCTGGGCCAGCCACTGTTTGGCCACTCCCACAGTCTCTGCACCTCACTTACCCCAGCACATCCCATAAGCAGGATAGATTATAGTTTGAAGATTATGTGGGTGGGATGGTGTCCCCTTCTCCCCATTAGAGGTCTTGCCTGGCCACAGAAGGTAATCAGCTTAGGCTACATATCTGCAATTGTTAGGAGTCTTAGCTGATCTCATCCTTGTAGAAGAGAAAGAAATCATGGAAACAATACCCTTCACAATAGCCACAAATAATATAAAGTATCTTCTTAAGCAAGTAAAAGACCTGTATGATAAGAACTTCAAATCTTAAAAAAAATTGGAAAAGATATCAAAACATGGAATTATCTCCCATGTTTAAGGATCAGTAGGATTAATATAGGAAAATGGCCATCTTACTTAAAGAAATATAAAACTTCAATGTATTTCCCATTAAAAATCCCAACACAGTTCTTTTTTAGACCTTGAAAGAACAATATTTAACTTCATATAGAAAAAGAAAATATCCAAGATAGCTTTTAAATATTTCTTTACAATAGTAGAGCTTTTGGAGGTATCACCATCCCAAATTTCGAGCTCTGAAACAGTTGGTATTGGTATAAACACAGACATGTGGATCAATAGAATTGAATTGAATTAAAGGTCCAAACATAATTTCACACATGATATGGATACCTAATTCTCCACCAAGTTGTCAAAAGTATACAGTGGAAATAAGAAAGAATCTACAATATATGGTGCTGATATAAGTGGATGTCAGCATGTAGAAGAATACAAAGGATCCACAGGTAGCACATATTTTAATAAAAAAAGTTAGTACATTATATTGGGGTTGTAAGCAGTACAGCAGACTTCAATAAAAAGACTACTACTGAATATTTTAATGAAAACTAAAGAAATCAATATATATTAAAAATAATTTATTGCTATATGATGTAATAGAAAAGGGAGGTAGCCCTTTTCAAAATAAAGGCACAACTTACATCTGAATACTTAACATCTACATCTCAGGTGCAGTTAGGCTCAATGCAAAGACTTTTGTCTCAGAAACATTAGATGTGTGCACAGTGCCTCCTATCTGATTATCCTGGGTAGTAATTCCCTCCATTCTCCAAAACCTTTTTTATTTATTTTATAATTTAATTTAATTTTACATATCAGCCACAGATTCCCTTGTTCTCCCCCCCACCCTCATTCCCATCTCCTCCAGGACAAAAACTCCCCTGAGGATTGAGTTCAACCTGGTAGATTCACTCCAGGCAGATCCAGTCCCCTCCTCCCAGACTGAGCCAAGTGTCCCTGTATAAGCCCCAGGTTTCAAACAGCCAGCTCATGGACTGAGTACAGGACCCGGTCCCACTGCCTGGATGCCTCCCAAACAGATCAAGCTAATCAACTGTCTCACTTATCCAGAGGGCCTGATCCAGTTGGGGGGCTCCTCAGCTATTGGTTCATAGTTCATGTGTTTCCATTAGTTTGGCTATTTGTCCCTGTGCTTTATCCAACCTTGTTCTCAACAATTCTTGCTCATATAAACCCTCCTCTTTCTCACCAATTGGACTCCTGGAGCTCCACCCAGGGCCTAGCCATGGATCTCTGCATCTGATTCCCTTAGTCATTGGATGGGGTTTCTAGCACAACAATTAGGGTGTTTGGACAATCTACCACCAGAGTAGGTCAGTTCAGGCTGTCTCTCGACCATTGCCAGTAGTCTAGTGTGGGAGTATCTTTGAACCTTCTTAATAATAGACCATGTCTGCACTAATAAGTTCATTTAGAAAATGGTGTGCACATATACCCCCAAAGAGCCAAACAATGGGAGATAAGGAGGACAACACAATGTAATAAATAGTTCCTGTTCATTTTGATGTCACAAGTCTTGAATTACAAACACCTTGATCATACTTGATAAGGAAACATTCTGACTTTGAATGAAAAAGTGAGTTCAATGACTGAGTAGAGTACCAGAGAAAAGCATCCATAAGTTTATAACTACAATGCATGGGGAAGCCACCGGCAACCACATCCTGACAGAAGCACACTTGGAGATACAGATCTGTCTTCCTGATTCTATAAGACACTTGTTCCTCATGGTCCCATAAATCTTCATTAATGCAGTACTTATAGCATGATTCCACCAAACACCATTTTGTTCCTGATGTATCAAACAGGGCCTGAAAACCACATGTTCTGGAACACCTTACTGAAAGTCCTGTCCTCAGACTTTCACTTCTCAGTATCCAAGAACAGCCTAGTCCTCTTTATGACAAACAATGGCAAAGCCTTGTCTTCCCATCAAAGACACAGCGCTGGTGACATTTGAGGCAAATGTCTGTAGCAAAGGTGACTCTTATGGGTTGTCTTTTGGCTCTGAGTATATCCAGGAGATCAGGACACACACTGGCAAATTTGTTCACTTGTACATTACCCAGGTCATCATAGCACTCCATTGGGGCAGGGTAGAACTCCTCAGTTAACTTGCTTAGATTGGCCAAGATTTGCAGAAGGTCCATCAGGACAGATATGGAAATGACATTGTCATAGAAGTTTACCCTGGTTAGCTGGAGGCACTGGCTCAGAGCAGGCAGGAGGGCACTGAGCTGAGAGTCCCCAATACCACAGTCCTCTAACTCCAGAATTTGCAAAGTGGCTGCTACATTCTCAAGGAGAAATTGGAGAAGTGCAGGACATAGGTTGAATAATACCACACCACAGAGGGTCAGGTGCTTCAGCTGAAAAAGCCTCTGACACCGACAGAGGTGTTCCAGGTCTGACTGGGAGAACTCAGAGAGTTTGATGGACAGAGACTCCAAGGGGCTCTTCAGGCATCTAAGGAAAGAATAAGAGTTTAGTTCTGTCTCCTGGTCTGGGAGGGCATTTTAGTTTTGACACTACTACAGAGACAATATCTTAGTTTAGGTTACTATTACTATAATAAAACACCATGACCCAAAGCAATTTGCTGAGCAAAGGATTTATTGGACTTATGATAAGAAATCAATCCACAATCCATCACTGAAAGAACAATAGTCAGGAATTCAAACAGGGGAGCAACCTGGAAGCAGAAGGTATACAGGGAGACCAGGCAGAAATGCTGCCCATTGGCTTATTCTCCATGCTTTGCTCAGCCTCCATTTTGTAGAACAGAAGACAGCCAGCCAAGGAACTGCCCCACTCACAGTAGGCTGGACCCTCCCACATTAATCACTAATAACAAAAATTCTCTACAGGCATGCCTATAGGCTGATATTTTGAAGGCATTTTCTGATTTTTGAGTACCTGCCTTTCAGGTGACTCCAGTCTATCTATATCAATTTGATATAAAATTAGTACACGGTACAGTACAAGGTATCACAAAAGCAAAGTCAGAGTGTCTATATATGGGAACTGAATGCCCAAGGTACAGCCTGTTGGTGTTTCCTCGCTAGAATCACAACATTGTTTCCTAAAGTCTATCACCATCATATTTGATAGGCTCAGAACTTAGTGGTGCAGCTTCTCATTCCCAATATGTTAGAGAACCAGAGATTGCCATTATAACCTAGAAAGAAAGGCTAAAGGAGGGCTTCTAGTCACAAATGCTTCTGACAGTGTCTTGGCCTGTGTCCTGCAGAAATCACTACAGTTCCACATTCTGAATATAGCCTATGTCCCTCTTCTCTGCATCAGTCCCTGAAATTGACCCTCTGCCCATTGCCACCACAACAAATTCACATCTACTATACCCCAAATATGCCCACAACATCTGTTCCTCCATTAGGTGTTAGAAGCTGACAGAGCTTTCCACATGGGAACAAGATCATTGTTGTTCACAAAGATATAAGAACAGAGATTCCAAGTGAAACTGCAGGAATGGCTCCTCATCCCCTTAGGGACCTTTGCTCTGTCTTGTTCCCTCCCATCAGGGCTGAGAGGATCCCAAGGAAGAATACATAACATAAAGAGACTGTATGTGAGACACAGTGTGCCTAGAAAGTACAGAGTAGTAAGAAAGCTCTCCTTAAGTCACTAACAACATCTTTGCCGTTTATTGGTGAGTGGTCGGTCAGTGAGGCAATTGTTTTTCTGATCCATTTAATATGGTATCCAGACCATTCTCAGATATTGTAATGAGCCAATAACTGTGAAAGTCACAGTGGCTGTCTGATCTCAGGTGCTCACTAATCTCTAATATAACAAAGGAAGTCTTGCTGTGGTAGGCAAAACAGCTCTCTCTCCTTCCTTACCTGAACAACTGTTTCATGTGCTCACTGGAAAAGTAGACACCATTGATGAAGAGATGCTGGAGACAGTTGAGTTTGGAAATTTGAGAAATGAGCCTAGCAGTATATTTCTCCTCTATGTCTTCCAAGGAATTTACAGCTTTTTTGGTGTTAACATAAATGCGTGCTAGATGGAGTTTGCGCAAATTTCTCATCTGGCCAAAGCAACGTGCGAAACAACTCAGTGCTGCAGGAGTCCAGCCTGTGGATAGTTCCAGTTCCTCAATGTAGCATGGCTGGAATATGCTAAAAAACATCTTGATAATCTTCATAGGAGTGTCACAGATTGTCACCTTCATACAGCACAGCCTCACAGAACCTTTTTGCTGCTGGGCCCACTGCAACAAATATGCTTGCTGTTCATTTAGGTGAGTTCTTAAGTCAAAATCAGTGACCACCTTCAAAAGCTGCCTTAGGGCATATCTATTAAGGCAATTCCCTGTTTGCTCCTTACTCAGTGTCCCTGTTGAGCTCTCTCCACATTCTATTCCAGGCCATGCATCCCAGAAGACATGGTGCACATTTCTCAGGTCCAGGACTCGAAGCTTTGACTTTCTGTGAGAGAAAAAGATGAAGTGTCATAATGAAAGGACAGGACCAAAATAGAGTCAACTTTCATTCCACTTCTCTAAAGTCAACAAAACCTATCAGGTAAGGGCTCCTTGCATAAACTGCATCTGAACACTTGTCCTGCTTCCCTCCATTCAGTTACTGTTGACTATTTTTTTATTACCTGGAGGAGAGGACAGAAAAGGCTAATCCTACTATGTGTGCATCTACTCTGAGGTGCCCTGAATTTCTGAAAGTTGATTATATTATTACTCAAATTATAAATAGAGGCTTCTCCTTCTTCAGACTTACAAGTGAGGATCATCAGATGCCTCTGATTTCCAGTGATCCACATGTACTTGACTCCACATATTCTTTCTCAGTAATCTGGTAACTACCCTTCTGTTCTATTTTGGCCTTACCTGAGGTGAACATTCTGTATCAACAGCATGTCTACACCATCCAGCACAGCTTGTAATATCACCACATCAGGGACCTGCATCAGCGCCCCCACAGGGAGGCAGGAAAAGGGCCATTCTGCCACCATCGCTGTCAGTATCTTCATGTGTCTGCTCTTGAAGGCCTCCTTGAACAGGGATGGGAAGAGCTCCATGGGCAGCTTCTGCAGTGTTGAGATGGCCAAGGCCTCATTCCTAAGCAGACTCTTTACTGCCAGTTCCAGGAGTGTGAATGGGGCCTTGAAGCTCATTCTGATGGATCTCCAGACAGAAGAAACTGGTAAAACATTCAGGAGTCATGTTTTCATGCTATGAAATTGAGTTTTGTAAGTCTCACACATCACAAGAATCCACCCCCCAGGGCTATAGTCCCTGACATAATAGTCAAGATCTCAGTGTGTCTTCATGTACTATAATCTCAAATCCTCATGCATCTCAGCAGATTATCTCAAAAGAACTGTCACAGGCACAAGTTATCCATTGTCCCATGAGGTACCACACGAGGTACCACACTCTGCTCCTCTGAATCTCACTCCCCTTGGAAAGATTATTCAGAAATAAGCAATGAGACCAGCCTCTTGTGGCAAATAGAGACTGATCACCTATCAAGTCCCTTATGAAAATAGAGTGCTAAGGTAACATGTACAACCTATAACCTATCCATGTTCTCCATTCCATGTGTTCAGTGTACATGGGAAGGACTGAGGAGTGTCTTACAAGTGCCTTATATCTTGAGCTTCTATATCTATTTATACTCATTTCTTCTCACACCATCCCTTTCTATCCTCACCACCCAAGGAAATACTTCTGTCTGAAAGGGGGATGGAGGGTTCATCCACTTAATCTTTTGATTATTTTTACATTGTGTATATTGACTGAGTCATAGCTCCTTGTGTAAAAACTAAAAATACTTAAACTAAAGAGAATTTGAAGGGTTCATGAATTCATTGGTTGATGGAATTATTTTGTATGTGATTTTATATGCACATATGTGTGCATGCTTTTTGTGTGCAATTTTTAGTGTATCACACACACATACACACACATATATATACATACATATATAATGATATATATATATCATTCACAAGGTTGTCCATGACCTTGGCTAAGAAAGAAAGTAGGAAAAAAATGTAGTTTAATTTACTTTTTAAAATGTGGTTTTGGATACAGTGCAGTATGTGGAATTGCATATGCTCCCAAAGTTGAATTGAAGACGTTATGCAGCACAGGCATGTGTCTCCTGTCCCTAATCCTGCCTGTTACTGAAGTGTTCTGTTTCAGCTACCCTGTCTGGTTTGTGCAATCTCCCTTTAAAACACTGAATAGTGCCAGGCAGTGGTGGCACACAACTTTAATCCCAGCATTTGGGAGGCAGAGCCAGGCAGATCTCTGTGATTTCAAGGCCAGCCTGGTCTACAGTGTGAGATCCAGGACAGGCACCAAAACTACCTGGAGAAACCCTGCCTCTCCCCAAAAAAACCAAACAAACAAACAAAAAAAAAACCACCGAGTAGATGACAGACATGGTACCAGTTGCCTGCAATGACAGTACTTTCAAGAAAGAATAAGGAGGATTCCAGGGGAGTCTAATCTATATAGTGTACTTCAGGCCAATTAAGTTTAAAGGATTTCAAATAAAATTTAATATGAAATACTCTAATCTAGGAGCACTGGTTGTTGGATTTGAGCCCTATAAACAAGTACTCTAAAAATGAGAAACACTCCCAGGTCATCTATTCAATTTTGTCTCTTCATACACTCATGTCTTGCCTGGATCTAGGATCTTCTGTGCTCAGACCCTCAATATTACTCACCAGGTGTGACTGGTGCTTGCTACCTGGATCCCTTTTATTTTACTTTTCTTTCATTTTTTTTCTCAGAAAATGTCATGTCAAATAGTCACATCTAAAACAATCAAATTCCCATAGTCCCAATTCTCTACTCAGCTAACACTTGCAGCCTGTGTTCATGAAATTATTAGTTACTGTTTCATTCCACAAATGAATGAAAATAGTAACATGTAAATTCCAGTCTAATAGGCATTTCCTATTAAAACAAAACCACACATCAAAAAACAATTCAAAATTAAATCACAAAACAACAATCAAATTCTGTTTTTTTTTCTTTTTAAATGGAGAATCTGGAAATATAAGGCCTTCCCAGCATACAAGAGGCCACCTGATAGAGGTGACTTACCTGATCTGAACACTGGTGACAGAGATCCTGTTCTCAGCAAGTCCAGGCAGTATGTGACTCAAGACTCCAACACTCTGAGAAACTTGTAGGGCTCCTCTCACCCTTTTATACTCCTTCCCCCCAACCTTCTCTGTGTAGCACAACCTCCCAAGAACATGATTCCATCTGATTGGGAGACTGAATGTCTATTGACTTAATCGTCTTTGTAATTGTTTTTCCTTAGTGTAGTTTGATTGAACTAAAGCACCTTGTGTGAAATCAAAATTACATTGAGAAACTGAAGAGATTAAGCATTGATTGATTTATTAAATATATAGTATATGTGTTGATATGCTCGTGTGTGTGTGTGTGTGTGTGTGTGTGTGTGTGTGTGTGTGTGTTATTCTGTGTATATTGTTTTAGTGTATATATGTAGTGAACCTCAGATTGAGACATGAAGGCTAGAGTATCAGTAGCCTGAGTTTGGTCAATCACTTTTATATAGCTAATGTCAAGAAACCAGAGTACAGCCATACCTTAATCAGGAAGATAGAATTTTATGTTTCAAAAATTTCCTTGACAATTGTTTTAAGGGGTTCTGTAACTGTGCCATAGAAGGGATAGAAGTCTGAGCCACAAATGAGCACTCCAAGTGCTCTACCATAGAGAAAGAGTTACAGACTTTGTGCAAATTATGGAGACCTGGGGTTTTGTGAAACACAAATGCTTTCTGGCCATTGAAAGATCTGGTAGTAATAAGGAATAGGCTGTGGGACTAGCTCACCCAGAAGGCAAGAGAAGTTCAGTCAGCCATGGGAGATGCAGCCAGACCAGATCAAAGCATGTTGCATTAGCTGTTACCTGAGCTAGTGATGGCAATGGCCTTGACACTCCCAATACTATGACAGAACTATTCAGAAGCAAGGGTAAAATTATATGCCAGTTCTTCAATCATTCACTAGTGATTGCTTCTCACTCTTCACTCTGCTGAAAGATCACAAGGTATGTTTGTGGTCAAGTGTATTTCTCCTAAGTCCTCCTTCACTAGAGATCCTTTTCTGATTTGCAAAGTCAGTCAGTTTCCCATGTTGCCATGTTCAAAGGACAACAAAAGAAAAGTCAGGATTTGCAGCACCCTTGTGCCCATTAGGACCATTAATTGTAAAGCAGACTCAGGGTTTTTACAATGAGTTAAAAAAAAAAAAACAACCCAGATTACATAGTGAGTTCCAGAGAAGTCTGGTTATTTCTAGTGAAGGCAGGCAGGTCAGGTGTCCAGAGTTGTCTTTAGAGACTTAACTAGTATCTGTCCAGCCTGGGCACATGAAATAGTAAACAAACAAAACAATTTTAAAAGATTGATGTGGGTGTCAGGCAGCTCTGCAGTCACTCCATGTTCTTTTCTTTCTTTGTAGCCCTGGGGATTAAACCTGTGTTTTGAATAAGATAGATTTTTCTAGGTTTCCATAAAGAGATATAGACTGAGAAGGATTTCCTAAGGCCAGGTCCCTTAAAAATGCAGGATGCTTGATGTAGGGGAAGCTGTCATGGCAGTCCAAGAGCAGCCAGTGGATCCAAGGAGAGTTCTTCTATTTTTGGATTTCTGAGTATAGAGACTCTGAGCTTAGAGAAGACACCTTCTATGTGCAACAGATTAGTCAAGGTACTAGATGAGTTATGCGTTAATTTAAGAAGTTAATTGTATTGACAGGCAATGGTGGTACACACCTTTAATCCCAGCACTCGGGAGGCAAAGGCAGGAGGATCTCTGTGAGTTCAAGGCCAGCCTAGTCTAGAGAGTGATTTAAAGGATAACCAGGACTTTTCCACAGAAAAACCTTATCTCAAAGCAAAACAGACAAAAATTAATTTTTTTTTCAAGACAGGGTTTCTTTGTGTAGTTTTGGTGCCTGTCTTAGATCTCGCTCTTTAGAATAGGCTAGCCTTGAACTCACAGAGATCTGCCTGGCTCTCCCTCCTGAATGCTGGGATTAAGGGCGTGTGCCTCCCCTGCCTGGATGCAGAAAATCAGTTTTATTATTCCGACTGTACCTTGGGCCTGCTACATAACTAGGCACTTCAGGTTGATGCAAGTTACTAGACGGAACTCACAGCTTGACTCTCCCCTGCCTCCTATGCAGCCTCACAGCAGCCTCTGCCCTTTAACACTATTAGCCTGCCCCCCCCAGACCTGTTGCTGGTCTATAACCCAAGTCACCCCTTTTCATATATCTGTATCTATATGTGTTCATTTGCTGTGTCCCCCATCCCACCACTTACCACTTTCTGAGACAGTAACACCTATATCCCAGGCTATAGAGATATAGACACATTTTAGGCCAGAAATACCATGCAGGCAACACAGGTCATTTTACTTTTCCTTCATAGTGTCAAAAGCATTCATTTAAATTCCTCAGGCTGGCTTTGAACTCACTTTTAATGGCAGACATGACTTGACATTGTACTTTCATATACATCCTCCTGAACAAGTGCCACTATAGGCCCCCATCAGCACACTCATCTTGGCAACTTGAACTCAGACTACCCATAATTTTGACCTGACCAAAGATTATCTTCTTGTGATTCCTTTTTTTTGTTGTTTTTTTAAAAACAAGGTTTTTCTGTTTATGTTTGGAGCCTGTCCTGGAACTGGGATCTGTAGACCTGGGTGGCCTTGAACTCGCAAAGATCTGCCTGTCTGTCTCCCAAGTGCTAGTATTAAAGGCATGTGGCACCACTGACCAGCTTTAGGATTTTTTCTAATGTCAGAAACAGGTAAAACACTCTGCTGTGTCATTCAGAACTCCAAAGGAAACTGTTAATAAAAATTGGGTTTGATTAAGTCAGTGAGTAAATCCTGGTCATCTACAACTTTCCCTGTCTTCCAGAGACAGAATAAGTACCATAATTTTGCGCCATGCAGAGGCAGAAAGATTAGACATTTAAGGCCAGGCTGGGCTACCTAGTGGCTTTTAGGCAAGTTTGCATATATATATTGGAATGACTTACAGGCTGCAGTCCAACAGTTGCTAGTTCTGAAGGGAAGTCCAAGAATCTAGGAGCTCCTCAGACC